GTCCCGGGGGGGAGCAGGCAGCATCCAAACACCCGTGTCTCCATCGGAGGGTCCGTGCTGGTCTCTGCTCTCGAGGGCTGCGGGGGAAGGATAAAACCACTCCAGAGGAGGTTTGGAAAGCTCAGGGAATGTGGATTTTATTATTTTTTTTAAATTTTTTCATTCTGGAAACCTTAAGTCCTTAAGAGCCAAGAAGACACCCCTCGTCAGATGTGTAAGAGGCAGAGAGGAGGAGTGAAGCACATGAAAGCCAACACTTCATCCCTGCCTTTAATAATGAATCGAGCAGAGCAGAGAGCAGGAGTTTCAAGGTCTCCGCATGCAGCTGGGAGCCCAGCGTTCCCCTGACCTCCTCCTCTCACACTCCCTGCTCAAAATACCAGCATTTACCTTCCCACCAGCTCATGGTCAGACCTGGCTCAGTGGTCCAGAGCTGGGCAGACAATTAGAAACTTACACGGTATTTAAGAGACCCCCCAGCACGGCCACTCAACCTTTCCCCTTCCTGACAAAACCCTGGCAAACGTGTCACTGTGTCACTCTTTTGCCCTCTTGCTTCAGAGTCCGGGGGCTGAATTGGTGGCTCTGCACTTTGCCCTGGGTTTGTTCCTCGTTCCTCCATGTGGGAGGGACTCAAAACACACCCCGTGTGCCTCGTCACTGACGAGGAAAAGCTCGTTAGGCAGCACTCGTTCAGTCTACGGCAAAGAGAGCAACAGGGGGTCAGTCCCCAGAGCTCAGGAACAAGATGTGGCTGAGAAACCACCCCGCCAGCCCCATTTGTACAGGGAAATGGATAAAAAGCAGCATAAAACCCTGTAAAAAAAAAAAAGGGGGGGTGTGAAACCACATAATTCAGGGTGATTTGAACCAATAACCTCCAGATCTTCCCAAACACCAAACTCTACAAGTGTCACTTCAGTCTCCCCCCCAGAGCTCAGGAACAAGATGTGGCTGAGAAACCACCCCGCCAGCCCCATTTGTACAGGGAAATGGATAAAAAGCAGCATAAAACCCTGTAAAAAAAAAAAAGGGGGGGTGTGAAACCACATAATTCAGGGTGATTTGAACCAATAACCTCCAGATCTTCCCAAACACCAAACTCTACAAGTGTCACTTCAGTCTCCCAGCTCCTGCCCCAGCCATTTGCCCCAGTCCCTTTGGGGATTTCACAGTGCTCAGGACGTGCTCACCCACCCGTGTTTTCAAGCCTGGCATTGGCACAGCAGGGACTGGCAATTTATTCTTTGATCTAAAAGAGTCCAACTTTGGTGACCTCCTGGGCAGGAGGCAGCAGCCGCCTGTTTGATTCGGTTTTTAAAGATTAAATCCCCACTTTGTCACTAACGAGGACTGTGGTGGTTCACTGGGTTTCTCCAGGAGTGACCCCTGTGTGCTGCTCCCCACAGCAGGGCACGGGGGACAGCGTGTGACTTACAATGACAGAGTAAAAAAAAAACACAGCAGAGAAAAACACCTATTGACCAACACAGTTATCAAGGGGCTGAGGAAGACCAAGGCCACCAGGTTGAAATAAAGGAATAAAACAACTTTTCCAACACAACATCAATGAAGTACACGGGGATGGCTGTGCTATCAAAGGCCTGATCAGCAGCAGCGAGCCTGCCCACTCACCCTGCCTTTAAGGTTATTGTCAGTGCTCAAAAGATGTCATACTACGTCATTTGGAATAAAAAGAGACTCTGAAGAACACCTCCACTCTCCAGCAGCCTCCACACGAGCCTCTAATTTCACAGAAAACCCAGTGGTGAAATGGGCAGCCCAGCTTCAGCCCTGTGCTGCTCCAGTCTCTGGTTATTCAGGACAACCAGCTCAGAGCCAGGAACCACAACCCACCAGTGCTACCACGAGAGACAGAGATCAAAGGGACGGGTGTCCTAACCCCCCAGGAATGTAGTTGTCACACTGACCTTAATCATTTGAGCAGAAGCTTGGTCCTACTGAAGACCTGCCAGATTTCTTCTCTTCCATTTCCCAACCTTCCATGGTTTCTGCCTGTGCTTGGCAGACCCTGCACAGCAGCAAGCCCAGCTCCATGGGATCACCAGGAGCTCACGCGTTCTGATTTTTACCTCAGAATGAATCCCTAACTGAATTGACTCTTTCAAAGGTTTTTATTGAAAGCCAAGTCCTTGACTCTACGTTGTTAAGAAAAAGTTAACAAAAGAGAATCAGACACCAAGTATTGGGACTGAGGGAAAACAAATGCAGAAGAAACCAAATGAACCAACCTCACTTTGTTTTCTCTACGATGACTGGAAGGAAAGAGATCTAAAGCAGCCTCTCAACCTACAAAAACCCACAGTTAAGACCTCTCTTTCCAAAAATTCAGTGATTAAGGAACAAATGACTTTTATTTTATTTACAGACTGAATGAAGAAAATGTGTATTTGTAGGGGGGTTTCTTACGACAACAAAATCCAAATGGCCTTTGACAAATGCTGTTTGGAGGCTTGGCTCTTCGTCACCCCGATCCACAAAGCGTTAGCCAGTCTCTTGCTTTACTGGGAAGCTGGGAGTGAACTTAGTGTTCAAGAAACCAAGAAGCTGTCACCTCTGAAGTTGAAAGAGATCTTGCCCTGCGTCCCTCAATCCCTGCAGCCACCGATCCACACCTTGTCTTGCAGAGGGGAGAGGTAAAACAACCAGGCACCGGTTTTGCAATGTCAGTTGAAGGTCAGAGCATACTTCCGGCTTCATGATGGCCTCAGAACTCAGTTCTTCAGGGAATAATAGCTTGACTGCACAATAGCCCCCAAAAAGGTGGGTTGGAGATAGTCCCTTGTTGTATTTACAATTAAAAAAACCCAAATAAATGGGGAAAAAAACAAAACCCAAACCCAGAGCAGCAGAAGCTGCGTATCTGAACACCAGAGGATCTGTTGTTAGGCAAAAATAAATGCATTTCTTGTAACATGGCACTGAGCTCAACACGAATGGAGTCCCTGAACTATTCCTGTTGGTATCTTTGGTGCTACCCTTCCCCTGTCAGCAGGGCACGGTGTAAAGATCTCCCTTCTGCTCTGTTCTCTCTGAAAACCACCCCGGCCTTGTAACGACACGGTTGTCATGACACTCGAGTGTGCAGCGAGTGGGCTTGCAGGCCTTTCTTCTGGGTGAAAGATGGGATTGTGACTTCAGTTAAGTTTGACAATATTAGCAAATAAGAGAATGAGAATGCAGTTTCATAACATTTCACAGTAAAGTTACAATTGTTTTGAAAATACCTCGCCCCCCCCCCCCAAAAAACCCCCCCCATTCTCAGTAGTAAGGTCGTCGTGGATTGTTCTGTGGGGAATAACAAGAGAAAATTAATCAAAATTGCTGTCTGCACAGAACAATGAGCATCTGAGCTTAATTATCTGAAAAACCCACCGAAATGTGACATTTCTGACAGTGAAACCTGAGGTTTCCCCATCAAAAAACTACAAGTGTAGCTTTGTAGGTGTGCTGGGATGCTGAATGCAACAGAGGCAAATGCAAACTTACAGGCTTTTTGCAACCAGGAAAACAATTATTCAAAATAAACCACGGATTCACAGACAACTCATCCACATCCTTTGCGTGTGGAGTTTATACCAGATAAAATGAAAATCAGAGGCTTTTGTAGTTAAAAAATAAATCATAGTAAGGAAAATTGTGTATCCGTGGATGCTTTGGTAGCGATAATTTGATTCAGCATGAGAATAGACTCAAAGAGAAACTTTCACAGCATTTGCTGTCTTGGCTAAGCACTAGAAATACTCCCACCCTTATGAGACACACACAGAGAAGCCTCAGGGGATTTGTCACTGTGCCTGCTCTGGTTTTGGGATCACCTTACCAATGGGTTTGGTCGGAAGCGGTAGGCGAGCATCATTCGTTTCCGGAATGCTTCATACTCATCATCCTCCTTGGTCAGCTCAGCGGGACGATCGATGCCAAAACCAGCTCCATCCACAGCAGTAGTTCCCCTGTTTGGAAAGAGGGAACAAAGCCTCTGAGGTGAGATGTGACAGATCACCTTTCCTTTTCACCAGAAACACCCACTGCCTCGTTGTCAGAGCTCGGAGAACAAGGAGCAGGGAGCACTGGGCATCATCACAGGGAGCGCGGTGCATCGAGACTGACAGCTGATACCGAGCAGCTTATTGCATTTGCCACGTTTCTACGTTGCTCTTCCAAATCAGTGATGCTTGCTGTTGTTAGATGGAAGCAGTAGTGTCAACATATATTTACTTAACCTTTTACAGCTGGAACAGAAATACTGTCCATGCTTTGGATGCCTCCCTGACCAGCAGACTAAAAGCTTTGGCAACCCAACGCGTTGACTGATACCTCGCCGATCGAAGGTACACAGAACTGTTCACCAACGTGCCTGCCTCCACTGTCCCTTCACTCCAGAACAGTCCAAAAGCAGAAGCAGTTCCTTTCCATCTGCAGCAGCACCTTCTTATCCATTCTAAGAACATCAAAGATGGTAGAACTCAAGCAAATCACAACCCTTCTTCAACCCTGTGATGGACCAAAACTGCCTGCCTTCAGTTGTCCGCAAGCCACGCTGTTTTGATCACAGCGATCTTTTATCACAGGACTTCTTTGAACCAATAAGCACGTTGCCAGAGAGATCTTCTTGTGAAAGAAGAGAAGAGCTTTGTAGAGATACTTTCTATCATGCAGTAAACAAGTAACTCTTATTTCTAAAAGCATCTAATGCTAAAAAACAATTCAGAGTGTTTCCTATCCCCAATATTTGGTTTTGAAGTTCAGCATATGTTACCACCAGATGAGCCACCTAAAAAGAGATGCTCATTTATTTTTGGCTAGAACTCTCATAAAGCTTTATTATATACAAAGTGTGATTAAATCAGAAAACTTCTGGGCAAAAGAGTGACGTCAAGGCAGCTGCATGATGATTCAGTCTGATCTGAACTGAAACATCTTATCTAGCAGTAGCAAATCCTGGTCGTTGCCTTTCACCCACAGCAGCCAGTGATGGTGCTTCAGATGTAAAAGGCACGTTTTTAATACTTAAATAAATTTGTGACTTTAAAGACATGACTTAATCCTCACATGCCCTGGGAGAGGTGAGGTGCAGACAAGTGTTATCTTCATTTTATAGATGGGGAAAGTGGGGAGAAGGCACCTCTCAGAAGAGTGCACAATGCAAATTGAGATTAGAAACAGAATATTCTTGGCTCGGATTGTGCCTGAGATAAAGTAACAAACCCACCCCTTGGGGGAAGGGAACCCCAAAGAAACAAGAAATTATTTTTCTCCTTTGCTGTGAGGATTCCATATTCTGCTCAAGTGATGAATTACAGGCACTTTCATCACAGCTGCTTCCAGTAGGCTAGAGTAGGAGCATCAATTATCAGCCCAAGAGGAAAGGACTTAAATCAATAGTAGAAGAACTCTGCTTACTTGCTGACTGGGTTTTTAATCCCCTGTCCCTCAGAGCCAAGTCCCTCGCCTTCCTTCCAGCCCATCTTCATTAGCATTTGATAACCTATGTTTTCCACAGTCAGTTTGAACTCTTTGTATTCAGAATAATCTGGCTCCCGTCCTTCCTGCAGAGACACAAAAAGTAGTGTTGGTTATTTTTCATATGCACTGATCTTTGTGGGCCAGAGGAGGGGAAAACCAGCTTCAAAATTAGGATGGTTCTGGCAAAACATTTAGTAACTAGCATGGTTTCTTGGGATTCCAGTCTGCCCCACCACAGAGGTGGTAAATAGGTAAATGATAAAGCACTGTGACATCATCTGCAAGAAGCAGGGAATGCTACTTTGAGATTAAGCTGAGAAATATTTAGCTTCCAAATTTCAAGTTGCTCCTGGATCAAGCTTCAAATACCGTTCTTATTTAAGCCAGAATCTCCAGGGAATGTCAGACCCCGTGCTGGTTACAAGAAAACATTAGGAGGGATGCTCCAGCATCAAGAAGTTCTACAGTTTGGGAAGAATTGGCAGGTATTGAGGTGTTTTGCATAAGCTTTTTACAGACTTTTATGTTTGAACTTTACTGCAATCGTCTGCATAAAAATTTTCTAATTTTCCTTGCTTGGAATCAGCAACCACTTATCTCTGAAACAGGAGCAGCAGACAAATGGTGGGTGGTCTGAGAGGCTCGTCTGTAATTCCAGCTAACCCCCCCCCCCGCACTCCAAGACTATCCCAATAGTCTGCTCCTTAATTTGCTACAGTTGTTTCTCTGCAAAGAGCAAAAAACCAACTCCTTGTTCTCTCCAGAAGTAACAGAGCTCCCAGTGTAAGGGCAGAAGTACCTCAAGGCTGCAAGGTAGCTAAGGGCTGAAGCATGCTTGAGGTCTTTCCCTCCCTGCCACGGGACAAGTGTGAAGCATTGCCACCACCCTGTGAAATCTCTGCTACTTCACCTTCAATGCTTTGAACGTCTCCATAAATTTCTCCAGCTCGTCAGGTGGAAGAAAGTCTCCGATGAAATGTTTCCCTCTGCCCATCTGGGTCAGCTGCTCAGCCCACTCTGCCCAAGACACAGAGAGAAAAGAGCAATAAGGCAGCGTTCTCTGACTTGGAATTTCAGAAGGTTTGTGAAGCATAAAGCCTCACAACACCCGACGGTTATTATCTCCACTCAACAGGCAGGGAAGTCACAGCACAGACCCGTGAAGAGTGACCCTGCAACTCCCACGCCAACAATGTGATCTCAGACATCTCCCTCTGGAGGCCTTTGTGCAACCACAGAGCGAGACGTCTGCACGGCAGCAACCCCACACACCTCGTGTCTTGTCCATCTCCATGCGCCGCAGCTGGTGCTCCCACGTTCCCAGCTCACTGTCCACCTCTTCGTCGCTGTCATAGCCGTGTTGGTGCTGCTGAATTGCCTTTTCCCACATCATCTGCATCTCCTGCATGGCTCGCTTGTGCTTCATGATCATGTCATACATCTGTTGCATCTAGGGGAAGAGAGGCAACAGCAAATTGAGGGAGAGAACTCGTTCCCAGGCAGCAGAGCCCGCGCCCGCCCCAGCTGCTGTATGGAATATGGGTTATGACAACTACAAATCCCAACGGGCAGCGCTGCTGCTTGATCCGATCCGCTCCCTTCTCAGATCAAACAGGAACATTCTGGGCTGGTTCCTCTGACAGAAGTACCTTGATATTAACACTGAGGACTGCTGCCATCCCATCATCCCCACACAGTTTAAACATCACCCTCACATTCTGGAAAAAGCTAATTCTGCTCTCATTCACCCCCCCAAAGCTTCCAAGTATCCGCTCACCTTCTCCCCACCGCTGAAGCAATACCTAACCAGCTGCAGATGTGACACAACAGACCTTATAGATTTTGGGGTTTAGTTTGGTAGGACAGCAATTGGCTGGCTTAATTCATATTCCCCAAAGTCCTCTAGTATTTCTGCTGACTGCAGCACCACATGATTCTTAGGCATTCAGCACAAATCCTAGAGATTTATTTGTGGGCCTCTTTGCTATCCCCACCTCCACGTTCCCATCTAACCCAACCACGCTGCAACGCAATATGCTGGTACACAAATGAATTTGGAAATCATTTCAGGGTGTTACCTCCTGCTGCTCCTTCAGCTGTTTCTTCTGGGCTTCGGAGAGCTCCGTCACACCCACCAAACCAACCGGTTTCCCTTTTTCATAACCAAGACCCTTGAGGTCCTGAACTGTAATAAGCACATGTTAAAAGACTTTCAAAAAAATCCGAGACAGCTGTTGAGATCAGCAAAACCCTATCTCAAGATCCCCATATGAAGTTTTACACTCATTTCCATGGTTCCAGCATTGAGACACTTCACTGAAGAACAACTCAGGAACCAGAGGAGCGGAAAGCCACCGAGTCACATCTCCTTCACCAGCCAGCTTGGAGCATTCCCTCACCCTGGTCCATATCACGTTAGCAGACTCACAAACTATGTCTGACACCCCAGGAGGTCACACTGCATGGCAATCTGCCACAGCACACTTTAAAAATCATTCCTCTTTAAGATTAATTCCCCTCATAAGGCTTCCTCATGAACCCCAGCCACGGCAAAGAGTGATACTTAATTATTCAGAATGGAGTGAGGAGCAGATCTGAGCCTGTCAGCACATTGTCCAATCTGTGCACGTAAGTGGCTGCTGATTACTATGTAAACAGCGACTTCATTCCAAATGAAAAGCAAATGACCACATTAGAATAAAGACATGAACATTATGCTGCTTTTGGAAGTTGCTATTCCCCAAGGAGATTTTAGTTTCTAATCTACAGGCTCAAGAAGAACATTGCCAGGGATGTTGCCCCTGCTTTCAAAGAAGGGGCATTTTAAGGCTCTGCTTGACAATCCCATTGATGTATCCTCCTCCTTTTTTTGTAACATCCCCTATTGGAAGCTCCTCCTTTGGAATGATTTTTGCCTGTTGTATCAGATAAGCCCTGAAATTAAATACTAACATTATCCAAGCAGGGCACCTACTGATTTAAAATGACCATACAGCACTCTGAGTTCAAAGGGCAAGATAAAAGAAAGAGAGGGGGGGGAAAAAAAGGAAGCCTATTTGTAATTGTTGCACCATGAAAGGAAGTAATAGAAACACTGCTGGGGCTGCAAAAAAAAAGAGATTTACAATGGAGATTGCCTTGCAAACTTGGGTCATATATATCTAGCAGGGCTGGCAGCTCCCCTCTAAAGCACCTCAGAGCTAAGATCCCAACAGTTAAATATTTAAGGGATTACAAGACGACACACAACCGCGCTCGGAAGCGCGTGGCATTTTTCAATACAAGGAAAAGGATTTCTTCCTAATGACTGCAAAAACCTCCATCTGAATGGAAGTCCAGGCTACAGTTAAATGATGCTACATTAATTATTCATTATCTATTAATTATGAAGCCCGATAATAATAGGATCATTGTTCATGACACCAAATGTCTACACAGCATGCTAATTAGGCCCCAGGGGTCGTCTTCTCCCTTCCTCTTATTTGCACTCAGGGCAATTGATCTGAGGGACTCTTATCTCCCCTCCTTTCCCCCCCCGCATGCTTTTAGCTGAGGACGTCAGGATTGGCAAGTGGTTTCCTTAATTCCAACCTCCCAAGGAGAACATAAAACAGCGCATCCACCCTCCCTCACACAGCTCCAGCCTCTGCACATTCGCACCAGCGCCGGGAGTCAACTCTGCAGGAAGAGTTATGTAAAACACTGCAAGAGATTTTTCTAAAAAGCCATGTTCTGCTCAGCCTGGTGCTAGGGATATCCAAGAAATAAGAGCAAATAGGAAAAAAGAAACCTATAGATTCTTGGTAAACAGCCCAGTTTGTGTCTTGGAGATCACTGAGATTTGGAAAGAGTTTTAATGAACACATCACGCCTACTCCATGTAAAGAATCTGTTAGGTGAGACTGGGGCACTTCAGCATGAGCCCCAGTCAAAGATTCACCTCCTGCTTCAGGGCATGGGAAAGCTTTCTCTGAATACACTGAGGAAGACTCTCTGCCCTTCACAGAGGTCAGCAGCTCTTTGGCTTAGTTCTGAATTGCATAAACACTCAGGCTAAGAGCCAGGCATGGCTCTAGGGGCCCACAAGCTGGTGGTTTGCCAGCATATATAACCACCTTAAAGGAGAAAGGTGAGACTGTAGCATCATCTTTTACTCCCCAGAAAGCATATGTCACCGCTCCTTCTTGTGCTAAAACTACACCTGGTTTGTCTGGCTGCTCTGGGACCTCGTGCAGACTTGATGCTGAGATGATGCTAAAAGAGTCACTGCAGAAATTTAACTCTGGGAGATAATTTTGTAGTCTTGGACTAAAGTATCACAATACAGGCAAAGTTGAGAGAAAAAGCAAAGCTCCACTCCAAGTCCCCATCTGAAGATAGAAAAGTCTATTCCTAAATAAGATCAGCCCATGAATTTGCATAAAAATAGATAGGATTTCTAAGTTCCTTACATCAGTCTAGCAAATGGTATGCAAAAGACAAGGAGGGGCTTCTCAGTCTGATGTTCAGCAGGCCTGGGAAAAATACATTTTTTTTTTTTTTCCTTGAATGACATCAGCTTTGCCTACAGGGTTAATGGTGCAGTCTGTCTGCAGCATTGGCAGAAGACTACCTGAAGGTTTATCCCTTTCCCACACACCCAAAGTGGAGCTTGTTACAAGAGAAGTGAATGTCCTTTAAGGACAGCAGAAGAAATCCCAATACAGAAGTGCCTGGGTTGTTTTTTTTTTTGCTTCATAGTCTGAAGATCTTACTCAATTAAAACTAATCAGGCCCAAACCAATCTAATATCAGGTTTCAGAAAATTCTAACAACAGCCTGTAATTTCCCATTAGCCCACAGAGTTCACTAATCACACCATCTCTGTTCTGTTCAGCTCTTCAGATATATTAGTCCCTGCAGTCCGTATGGAGTTAAGTGTTTTGATATCAATACATTTAAGAGGAGCCTTGTTTCTGTCCAAAAGGGCTCCACTTTCCCCTCTCCACGATACTGATTTATTACTAAGAGTAGACAGAAAAAGAACCAGAACAATCCTCCACTAATTCCAAAACAATTGCAAAGGATAAAAGACTAAGACGTGGATATTTAAGTTACCAAAGCATAATGTGCAACTCTCAACCTTCCACAGGACCAGGGGTGTAATTTGGAATTCTCTTTACCTGTCAGGTTGAAGATGTTAATTCTAAAAAGGGATTAGTCCATCTGAACCAGTTAAAAAAAACCAAACCCAAATCCTTCCTCCTGCAGAGCATTAACAGCGCATTAACGGTTGATTTGTGATGCCTGGCAAATTGTTTGCTGTCCTTTTCTTCTACTTGACATAAAGCCCTGCAGAAAGTGAGCGTGAACACAACGAGCACGTCCCTGTCTAATTAAG